GGGGGCGGATGCCAAGGGGGGGGGGACGGACGCCAAGGGGGCAAAGGGGAAAGGCAGACAAATTGCATTTTAGTAAAAATTCCTAAAAGACCATTACTTTAACACATAGTGTCACCTTTGATCTGTTAGAGCAAGCAGCTACTCCAACTTCAGGTATCCATACAGCAGTCTGAATAGCTCCAGAACCTATCACAACGCTCTGCAATACTGAACCATCCTAAGGAAAGAAGTGTTTTGAGTCAGTGTGTATACACAGCTACTTTTCTATTTAAATGCATACAGTCACATTCCCAAGGGATGACATTCTCCCAAGCTGTTCAATAACTATTTAAAACCTGAAATGTTTATACTAAAAACAAATTAGTACATAGCATTTCTATGATACTAAGGAGATAACTAAGGATTTAGAAGTGTTTAATAAGCCACAGAATTTGACTCTTGGAAAAGTTCTCAAAGAGAATATTATTCTCACCTATGAAGAGAGAGTGGCTGGTTCTGCAAAGCCTAACTAACATGACCAAACCTATAGCATGAATCAACAGTAGAACCATAAAATATAAAACACTTCAGTGTTAAGTACAATTTCAACTTCTACTTCATTATTTATAATTTTATACCATGCTTTCTCTAGTGTTTCTAACATACTAGGAAGGGGCAGGGGGAAAGAAAGCTAGTCTGATGCCTTAGCCATTTTAGATACTCATGCTAAAAAAAGAATCATGGCACATAAAAGATGATCTTACCCGTAAAGACCAAATATTCATGAGACCACCAAGTCCACCAGACACTAATGCCAGTCCATCAGGACTGAATGCAACAGTCCGAACGGGAGTAATATGTCCTCTCAGTTGAAATACACACTTGACTTCTACTGCTTTTCTGTATCCGTCCTGCAAATTATTTCATAGTTATGGAATGCTGTGAACTACTTACGGAAAATGGAATAGCAGAACATCTTCTGTATTCTGCAATAAATACTGATTATCTGTAGAGATGGGGTAATTTCCGTAAGATAATAAAAAAGACCAATACTATGATCTTATAAAATAAGTATCTTCATCACATTACCTATTCTCTCCTTACAAAATGCCATCAACATTAAAGACCACATTACAATTTACACAGGTGAAATATTGACTTAATTTTATCTAGAAACAATTTTAAACTCCTATTAAATTTTACTATAAATTTATCAGCTTAAAAAAAGTGAAAACAGATCAAAATATAATCTTTAGCCAAATAAAATTAATTTAAAACTGTGATTTTTCATTTCCTGTTCTGAAAATGCCTACACATATACAAATGTAAAATAAACTTTTTTTTAGCAAATGTCTCCTCTCAGGAAATCCTGAGATTTGAGTAAATCTCACAATCTTCTCCTTGCCCAATTTTGGAATGAGCAAAGAGAATTTCTTAAACACCAATTTTACTTCTTTTACCTTGGCACTTGCTTCTTGGTCCCACCACCCTTCTGAGCAAGTTGAGCTGGACTGCAATGTGATTATTATGTCCTGGGGAACAGTCCAAACACACACCAAACCATTGTGGCATCCTCTAAAGGAAGTCAGGATAAATCAGAAAAGCAAAGTAAAGATATTAACTAACAAAATATCAGTGATCTGATATTAACTTTAAATATCAGTAGTTTTTACCACCTTCCTATAAAACTATATTATATCAATTAATCTAAAGTGGAAAGGCATGTTCTGAATGGATAGATGCAATTTCTCCTATTCCCCCTGACCCCTTACTTTTTCAATTTTTACTAACACCATATTCTCAGAAAAAATATTTGGATGAAACAAAAAAAAAAAAAAACACCAAGCAGGACCACCATACACAGGTCTCATGGCATGGAGAAAACAGCTGGTAAATTTGAATTCTGAAGCCTTATGGATCTCATGGCAACTGGCTTACTGAATTAATGTTATTTAAAAAAAAAAAGACAAAACTTTCCTTTTCTCTGGACACCAAAGACTGGTAGAAGAGACCTGCAAAAGAGCTATTAAAACAATTAAAAAAATCACATACGTAGCTAGTAAAAGCTGCAACTTGGGTCCTTTCCCTGGAAGAGCACACCAGGCAATGCCATTCACAAGAGCTGGATGGGACAGCGAATGCAGACGTCTCCAACATCCTCCCATATATCCCCAGAGTTTCACTGTTTCTTCTTTGGCACATGTCAGGAGAATCTTACCAGTTGGATCCCACTTCATACTAACAATCATATCCTATTGGATTTTAAAAACACTAAAGTTGGTATGAAGTAACCCAGTAAGAACAGAGAAAAATCTATCGGAGCTAATGCAATGTTTAATTATTAAGAACAAAGAATATTTTATTCTCAAATAAATTGTTGTAGAGATAGTGAGTTGCAGTTATGAAATCATAACGATACTTTTCAGAACTATCAAATTAAAATAAAATCCTAGCTAGTTGAAACTAAAGGAAAAGCATAGGAAAAAAATGTTCTCTCTTCATTGCACACAGTTCTTCATTTCCCCCCCCCTTCTTTTTATATATTATGAAATTGTAGTATGAATTACCTTAACGGTACATGGTTCATAAACATATTAGGCAATGGGCCAGATGTAGGTTTGAGTCTAACTGAGGTAGGAAAGGAGAACAGCCCATAGTGGAAAAGGCAAGTATAGTTTTATTGTCACATCATGCTCACTTCCGTGACTACCGTGCTTTAAACACCAAGACCAGTTCATGGAAGTGCTCAAGATGCTTTTACTACACCTATACTTGAGGAATTCTCCTCTTAGACTAACAAATAATTTATGGACTATTAATGACTTATAATTACATGCTAGCCAATCCAAGGATCTAAACCTTTGCGGCTGCATATATAGAAAAAAATCCTTTGCTTTGTACAGGAACTTGAGCTTTACTAAAACATGTGATGCAACCAAAATGAAAATTTATTATGAGCACTTTTACAAAATAAAAGAACTACAGTCCTCTAAACCCAGACATGCATAGCTGTGTCCTTAATACACTTCTGTCACTGTATGCACATATACTTCACAATCTCTTAATAGCAAAAAAGGCTATAAAATTTATTTTCCTTTTTTTTTTTTAAATTTGGTGGACTGTTCCTTTAAAATATATTGTGTTTAATATATGTATCAGAAATAAGTGTGGGTTCTTAGAATAATCTGCACTTGACTTTATAAATAGCTTTCAAATACAGAAAATAGCTTAAACAGATCTTTGCCCACAAAAATTATACATTAGTTTTAGAAAGACTAACTCTACCTTATGTGCATCAACTAGAACAATTCCTCCTTTTTCAGGTGGTTCCTTTGTTCCTATTAGCAATTTTCCATCCGAGTAGCCAACTGCAAATGGTCTGTCTTCACTGAACCAGGCAAGGCATGTGACATACACTACATAAACAGACAACACAAAAATTAATTTAACTAAATGAGACTTTCCTCCTGCCAAAGAGGTTTTTGCAGTGCAATTGTCTAAAATATGAAGTGCATAACAACTTCCCCCACCACAAAGGTTACTTAACATACTTTCGGCCTGAAAATCTTCCTGAATCTGTATGGTAAAGTTAAAACTGAGTGCCACTGTAATGACAGCTGTTGAGATTATTTTGTAATATTTTTTCATTCTTCTTCTTTTTATTAAAATAATTGAATTTATATTCCTGACATTGTGAAAAGAACTACGCTAGGAAAAAGAACAAAAGTAAACTGAATCCTATACGCATATCTGAGATAGGGATGCTTCTAAGAAAGCAGTGAAAACAACCGGTGCCTTTCTTAGCATGTAGATAGCACCTCACTTGATCCTGCCAAAAAATCTGCAAATTTCCCAAAGCAGCAATATGCAAAACCACACAATGCTACCAAAGATGTGCTACTTCATGTCCCCTGGGACTGGAACTACAAAGGAAAAATGGCAGTAATTCAGTAATTCAAAAGACACTGACTACATATTATCCATAGACAAGAGCAGGCACTGCAGGGAATCTACACTGACTTTGTTTGATGGCAAGAAATGTCAGGATTTGACTAGGTTTCTACAAACTTTGCCTCAGCTGTAGGGGAATCAGGCTGCAGATGAAGATACCACAGACTTTTCTCCTTCCATGAATGCAAGTGAATGATGATTGCAGGTTAAAGTAACAGAAGTCATATCCCATGAATAGTAATAAAAAATTGAGATTATATACTTGCTTAATAAAAAAAAAGGGGGGGGGGAGGGGATTTCATAATTTTAATTTCTACTTAAATACTGATACAGTCTCCTACCATCCTTTCTGTAGCAGTGTTCCAGTTCTAGCCGGTGCATTGTTGAAATGTCTACAACTTCAATAAGACCAAGAGATCCATCCATACGACCAATTAATAATAATTCCGGAGCATCTCCTGTCCATGTTGCAGCTGGCCCTTCTTCTGGCCAAGCTAGAGCAGATACCCAGTGAGGCTGAAGATCTAATAATCCTTTTCCTCCTAGGAGCCAAAAAAATATTTTTAAACTATTTCATCTTCATAAAAAAAAGAAAACAACAAAAATACTTTCCATGGGAAAATATTAAGAGTTCCTGTTTAGAACTCGGACATACTACAAATTCATGTAAGTTACAAGCCTGCAAAGCAATGGTCCACTACTCTACACAAACACAGAATCTAGCTAACAAATCTCAATTATCAGTCAAGTTACATAATTTTGTTAAGGAAGGAAGCTAAATTCTTCAGTAGTCAGTAAATTTATATTTTTACTGTGGATCGTCTCTTAACGTGGGCAGCGTAACTGGCGATTTTCACAAGTGCAAAATAGCAGAATGAAGTTTCAGAGATTACAAACAACAAATAATAGTCTTCCTCTCACAGGAGTTCTAATGGTATTATGCTGGATTACTCAATTGCATCACAAATGACAGTAAACACGTAAGAGAATCCACTTAAAGATGCTCGCAAACGGAATCAAGGAATTTGAAATGGCCTTTCCTGGATCAGGTTCAGTCCTTTCTATTGCAATCTCATAACTTTAGCTAATTCATTTTATAGTATTTCTTCCCCAGGTGTAATTCCTCCTTATAAAATATGAGATCACAATCTTTTGAACATAAGAAACTTTCTTGAAGTTATTCATGGCCAATTTATTTACATTTCTTCTTGTGTCAATACTACCCATTTGCTTACATTGCTGCTTTTTCTCCCATGGCTTCTCCTGGACTTTATTTTCCTAATGTATTTATTCATAAGCTTCCTCCTCCAAGACTCTCTTGTTCAAATAAATAAACCAAGCTCACTCATTCTACTCTCATTACAAGACATTCCATCTAGCCTATCACTCTAGCAATCCTTCCCTCCATCTGTTTCAGTCAATTTTTGCATTCTCCCTGTTTCATGTAGAAAGGTAATTCTTGCAGACTACAGGAAGGTAGTATTTACAGACAAAAACTGCTAAGCATGATCAAAGCTCAGACCTAAACACTTCTGATTCAACAAGGACACATATGCTGCTCAGTTTTCTACTGAATCAACTTTAAATCACAAATCCATTTGTGGTTAGTGCCTTTCTCTAATTAAAAAAGTTTACAAGACATTATGAAACATAGTAGGCATTTAAGCTGGAGAGCACACACAGTTAAATACTTGGTTAAACAAATATTCAGTAACTTGGCAGCTTCCCTAGATATATGTTGTATCACAAAGTGTAACAGGTAGCTAAGAGCATACCATTGACTTGCCATATGTTCACCATCTTTTCCGTAGCTCCAGCCAGATACTTGCCACTGATGCTCCAACATACAAGAGACAAACTAAGGTCACTGGGTGATCCCAGACTTTCTTCAGAATCACCTTCTCTACAATAGAATAAAATAATGCAATTAAAAAAGGACATTTCCTTTAAGCAGACAGGAAAACATAGAATTAATGAAATAACGGAGTTAAAATCTGGACTACTCCTGCCATCACTGCAGATTTACATAATAAATTTTTCTGCTCATAGTTCTATATTCTATTTAAAACCACTTCAAATTACAAAATGAGATACCAGTTATTTCCACAGTAAGAAATTTGAAGTTAGGTTTCAATTAGAAAAGAAAAAGTTTAATTACCTTTAACTTTACCTATTTATATCTCAAATTTAACACCTTTGGTGAAGGCAAAACTTTAGCTAGAGAGTCATGAAATGAAACAAGATAGCTTGGAGAAATGAAAGAGGTACATCTTGCTTTCAATTCTAGCTTAAACACTTCCTCCTGTTACAATGTTGTTAACTGTCCTAAAATGCTATTTTAAAGTTTGCTTTGCCTAACTGTAACAGGACCACGGGTACATTTTACTGCCCTTAAGGTTATATACAACAGGCACAGGCTCTAGTGATTTTAATTACAGGAAAATGAAGGCTATAATATTGCCAGGATGTATACTGTAGGCCAAATACTGTATCACCCCTGTATTTTTGAAGATACAGGAGGCATACCTTCGGTGTGTTCTTGCTTAAGCAGGAGACATTTAATTTGTGAATTAATGGTATGGGATATTGTAACTGCTATTAACAACACTAACTTACTAACATAACACATGTAAAAGTATTAACATAGAAAGTTAACATGAGGTAGTAATAATGTATCAGGGAATAGTAATCCAGTAGCATTTAAATATGCTCTGAACTCAGAAAAACAAAAAGTATTCCCACAGAAAGAGGAGATAATTCTATCAAAAGAAGGGATAATGCCTTTTCATCTGCTCATCTCTAAGGGCTAAAAAAAAGAATTCTACCTTTAAAGATGAACTGGCACTTACTCAATACAATAAAGAATACAAATAGGATTGTGTTGCATTTGTATTTAAAGTTATTATTGAGATTGTTAGCAATAAGACCCACGAAAGTACTGAATTCTGAATCTACTATACAGGAAGCACACTTTTCTGCCACATGAATAATCGAAGATCTCTGTTAAAGGAAGATGCTGCTCTCATTACTATCTTCTGAAGTCAAGTTACATCATTCTGTTTATTCCCTTTAAGGCAGCATCTAACAGTAGCAAGCAAACAAGAACCAAAATGACCACTAAGAAGTCATCATGAAACAACCTTCCAGATCACTATTATTTCTTCATTCTCCTGAGTTAAACTCACCTAAGCTGTACTAATTAGACTCTAATATTTTCTTTTTCTTTCTTCTTTTTTGGACACATCCAAATGATACAAATGTAATTCCCAGTCACTCTCATGAAGAAGAATTATGCGCAGTTCCTGAGTCCCGGAAGTCACAAATTCTTTTTACATGCTTCCCTCAAACCACCATACTCATAATTATCACGTTATAAATCAGAACTGTCCACTGGAACCCACTTAAGGGATATTAATAGTTTTTTCATATGACAGTCCCCTACAGTTTTCATTTTACCCATTTCTCATTATATGAATTAAGAACATCTTTAAACAGATGTAACACAATCTCTTTATACCGACTCTCATCAGCTTGATAATTAAGTTCTCTTTTCAGTTTTAAGGTATTTAATTTACTTTGTACACCATTAACAGAGCAACAGCCCCAGATAAAAAATGAAAGAATGTCTGTGCAGGAGGTATTGCAGGGTTGGCTCTTTTCATTATCTTGCACAATTATAGCTTAATTTAAATATCTGTCTATTACAAAGAATCAACTTACAGCTTGTTGAGCACACAAGTTTGCTGCAATGAATACTGCTTCTTTGTAACGTTCCACACTCTTATGGTGCCATCATTTCCGCTAGTCGCCAAAAGTCCCTTTTTATTGCACCAAACACATGTCATGACCTACAAATACCAAAATAATCATGGCAAAACTGGAATTTAAATCTAAAGCTTAGGTATGTCTGTTCACTAATATTAAGCAAACAGTAATCAATGGGACAGAGCATTAGCTACATTATTGAAATACACTGTAACAATCAAACAAGATATATTTTTCTACTTTTAGAGCATTGTGTACTGTAATTACGCATGCTTTATAAGTATGTTATATTTTGTTCATTTTTGGCTCCACAGGCCACTATTGCAGCGAATACTGGACAAAGACGTTTACTATGACAGAAAAATTAACACAAACTAAGATCTAGTCTAATAAAAGATTTGGGTGGTTCTGCTGACTTCAGGTACTGTGAAAACACTTTCATGTCCCCTTTAATTGAAGCTTCAAAGAAGCTAAGCATTTTTCTGCATCAGAGGTACCCTCAAGCAATAATTCCCTTTGTCACCAAAAAATTACTTCTCATGGGAAATAATTTCAGTCAGTTTATTTGTAAAATAATAGTATTCCACTTTTTCTGTATTCTACAAGAGAGTATTAAAATTCACTCAATTTTGGGAGAAACCATGCTTACCCTGTTCTGATGAGCCTCTAATTTTATGAAGGAACATTTTCGTAAGTCTCCCCCCATATCAGCGAGGGTCTGAGGAATAGTTTGGTTATCTCGATCATGTGCTGCAAGAGTTCGCACCAGCTGCTGAGCAGCCCACTGCCTATGTTGTGAAGATAACCTTGAAGAGAGGCAGCAAGCTGCTAGTGCATTAGCCAGCTCCAGAGGGCCTACAGCAGAAGGATCATAGGAAGGATGGGCATACAAATGGGCAATTAAACCTGCTTAAACAAAACAATGAGATGATGCCTAGATGAGTACCAAACGGAATTACACAAATAAACACAGCATTAGCCATAATTTCCAGAAAAAAAGAAAGAGATTAACAAACATAAGAACGTTGCAATAACGTTAACTATTAGAAAAAACACTCTTCTGATACTAAGAGGAAAATAACCTCCTTTAGAATTTCACAAAACCCCCTTAAAAATAGAATAACAGTCTTATTCCCACCATATGGAAAGTGGTTGTTCAAAGAGCAAGTTCTTTCTGAACGGGAAAATGCCTCCTCTGGCAAAATAAGCTGCTGTCACTGCTATGTCCTTCCCTCCCGTGAACACAGCAACAGCCGGCTGCAGTTCAGGCACAGCAGTTGCTTTTTGGCTTCCTGACCTCTCACGGCAGAGGCAGCACAACTTTCTGCATCCGAGAGAGAACTGTACTTTCGTGGCAGTAGTCAACTGCTATTCCCCTTAATTTCATTAGGTGGCACAACCGAGGCTGAATGTCTTCGCTGTATGGCTTTGAATACACACACTCAGATTTTTTTTTTAAAATGGCAAAAGATGCAACTATGTACCAAGACCAAATTTCTAAGTAAAGTTTGTCTACTAAACCATAAGATTACTTTGATTAAAACAAGTTTTGTGTATTTTTGAGAGTATATTTATTTATACATTATTCTAGGAAGTCTCTCCTTAAATATAGATGAGGAATTGAAGATTTAACAATTAACATTTAAAAACAAAGCTGTATCATACCTTTCTTTTCAATTTCTGCTTTATCATAATTTGGCCTCAGTTTGGCCCCTTTGTCTGCCAACAATGCCACAAGTGCTTGAGTAACCACAAAATTCGGAGACGTGACAAGTTTGTTTTCTTCTGCAATGCCTCTTAAAAAACTTGGCAAAAATTTCCGCTGAATTGGATCATCAACTGTTGTCAAGTTTACACCAGTTGCTGCAGAAATCAAATTCTAAAAATAAATAATTAAAGACAATGAATAACCAGAACAAACAGAAAAATCAATTTTGGAAAACATTTTTAGTTGAACAAATCATGCAGAGTTCTAAAGATTTTCAATTTTTTTGGAATTTAAGTCTTCTGCCCTGGGGAATGCCCAGTCTTAATGGAACCAACTATCCAGATCCAGGCATTAAAAAAAAAAACCAAACAAAAGAATCAAGTAATCAATAATATCAGCAAGAACTAAGGAGCTTACAGAAGAACTTTATAAAAAGTTATGCATCTGGTGGTAGGATAAAAAGCAATAACACATAATAAAATCCATTATCCCATCCAACGCTCATACTTCTTCACAATTGTACTTTGAACTCAGAAGAACAAAGCAATTACTCTGATTGCTTAGAAGTTTACTGATACATGTGAAATGCTGCTGCACGTTCACAGCTGTAGATCACCTTTTTCTAAATATAAACAATCTGTGCTCCACATAGAGTTGACTCAATTAAAAAACCCAAAACTCTAACAGAAAAAACCTATCAATACAAAAAGCACATCCATTTTTCTCCACCTGAAAAGAGTACTCAGCCAAAAAATGTAGTTACTTGATTCTTCCCAACAATAAAACATACCCGTGTGAAAGCCATAAAGAACCACCCTAAGGAGATCCTCAGAGGGCAGTCTCATCACAGTTCAGAAGATAAACCCACAAATTATCAATATGTACAAAATGGATTGCTTCATCTCACGTATAAGGAGCTTAGTATAAATATTTATGTTGAAATAACAGTCCTACCTGTGTACATAACTGTACCAGCAGTTTTGCAGCACTAGGAGTGTTTGATGCCAAACAGCCTACTGCTGTACTCAGATAGGCAAGACAAGATATAGGCTTGCTTGTTTTGCTGTGTATTCCTCTAGATCGCTCTGTTGAACTTGACACAGTGGATGGGCTCGTGGAGAGGCCTGCTCTCCCTGCTGCAGCGAGGCACATTAAACGAACCAAAGTTCTGATATCTGTTAATCCCAAGGATTCAAGACCAGCTGCCAGGCTACAACTGGAACCACTGTCAAAAATGAATATAAATGCTCTTGGTTTTGTTAGTACATTTTAAAAGAAAGTTATATTTGGATAAAACTATTCCCAAACCATTAGTGAACACTGTCTGTTTGATTAGCTGGCCTTTGTTACCATGCAGGGGGAAAGGGAAGAAAGAGAAATGAACCCTCCACTCTTTTCTATTAAGCTGAAGCCAAAAATGCATTATAGACTTGCCTTAGCAAAACCCCATGAGTTTACCTGAAATCACTCATCAACAAAGTTGTATAGGTAATTCATGTTTAGAATTATGCTATGATAATATGCACATGTACATATCAGATCTCTGCAATGCCTTCATAGCTGTATGGCTATCTTGTATAAAACCAGTTTTTAAATCCTCATAGCTCATCAACTTCACTTCACCTTCTTCCCTCCAACATTTACCTCTATGTTCTAATACTTGCCCTGAACAAAAACTCACTGACAAACACAGCATTGTTATGTTCTGAATGGCTAACACTACTGGAGTCCACTTTCCATACAAGATGTAGAAGTTTCTTTCACAACGTTTGAATATAGCATTCAAAAGAACAAAGTCAACAGAACTTTTTCTCTTAATAATATGATGTAAGTACATAAAATGAGGATCACTTTCCCAAATAGCCTAAAACTGCATCCCTATCAAACATAACTTGATAACGGTTCCAAATGGAAAGGTGGAAGTGTTGCCAAGGATGCCACAAACCTGACAGACAAAAGTGAAAGCGCTCTCATAACCATAGTTCTTGCAAGGAGGACTTGGGCGGCAGCTGTCACTCTTCTTAGAGCCATAACACGGTCATGGGGATTTACTAGGGCAGCTGCTTGTTCTCCTAAGGTTATCCTGCCAGAAGAACTTTTTTCTATAGAGCCATGACAACCTTGAAAATAATGAAGATTTGCATTAGTGTTTAAAGAAAAAAAGAACATTATCACAAAGTAATAAGCACAGAAACAAATTTGGCCTAAGTTTGCAAATGACTCATTAAGTTTTTCAGCATTTCATACATACAGAACTATAGTGATAATGACTAAGAGGAAAATACACTCCTGAAATACACTGCATAATTTAATTATTCCTTACTTTCAAAGATAGGTGAGCACAAATTGAGAACACTCAAGTTAATGTTAATTCCTCTGCTTCCTTTTTCCATTAGACGGGCCTATGAATTTACATATTGATCCTGCATTTCAATAGGCTGGTCAATAAGTCCCAACTTAAATCCATTAATCCATCTCTGAGTTCTGCAAAACATGCTACTGGCACCCACTGTAGGACTATGGTCACAGTTTTATTAGCAAATCAAAGCTTCAAGCTTTCTGGCAATATAAATGCCTTACGCTACTGTCTCTAACCCCCCTATAATAAAAGGACAATTTAGAACCCTGTCTTCACTTTCTTATGGTTGGAGGCAGGAAAGACTGTCAAAATATTTCTGCATTGCCCCTATAAAATCACACCAAAGGGGAGGTATTTATTCTTTGACTGAAACTCATTTAAAATTTACCTATTTGCATCAATGTTTCTTCCATACTGTTGGTGGCTGTCACCATTGCAACTGAAGCACCCAGAGGGTCACTGTCAGGAAACTGTACAGGTTCAGGTACAATACGTCGATCGTTTAACCCAAGAGGTCCAGCCAGTAATTCAAACTCCTCTTCTCCTGTCAGCTTTTCATCTTCATCTACATCTAACATATCCCAGTCTTCTAGAATTGGAGAAATATAAACTTGGTAACAATAGCTAAAATATTAAATAATTTTAATTAATTAAAAAACCAATACAGGGTATAAAACGTGGATTCTAATCTGCAACACAGTAGTCTTGAAAACCCATCTTCTGATGTTGACATAGACACAACACAGTAAATCAGAAAAACAAAATCTTGCTCTTGCCCCTCCTCCATTAAATTTGATCTTTATTTCTACTGCAAAGAAGTTTCATGGAAGATTCTCTAAAGCATCAAACTAGATGCTTTTTCAAAACACAGAAATGAGAGGCCATCACATCTAGCACAAGACAACTCCAAAACCCGGAATACAGTGAAAAGAGTAGGCTACAGCTGTGCTTTAAATCATGATAACGGGTGCATATTCCAAAGGACTCAATTGTAAAGACAGATACTAGAGATTTTTGGTCTTCAAAAAGGTATGCGTGAGTTCTTAGGTCATAACTGTACCCAGGCTTTTGCTCTTCTATCTTGGGGGGGGTGGGGGGTGGGGGTGAAGGCACTATAACTGCAATTCAGTTATGCATTCCATTGATTTCCCAAACATTTACACAGAAGTCAGCTTACATTTACTGATCCTTCCTGCTCTCACTCCCCATACAGTAGAATCTGATCACCTCTTATCTATTGGAAGATCAACTTGCTATTAAGTTCTGGAGCACTCATTTACCCTTAAATAGACAAATGTGCTAATTCATACAATTGCGATCATACAAGCTATAGATAGTACCAGAATCAAAGAATCACCTGGGAAACGCTTTCTATAATCACTAGAAAGAATCTGTTTAAAGTGAAAGCCATCCTCAGGATACTCTCAACTAGTACCAAGGTATTAAAAGTAAGAATAAGCCTAATGGCAGACTTCTGAGACTCTAATTTATGCTAATTAACTTCTCCTACAAAGGCAGCTGAAGAATCATAGAATCATAGAATGTTTTGGGTTGGAAGGGACCCCTAGAGGTCATCTAGTCCAACCCCCCTGCAGGAGCAGGGACACCGCTAACTAGATCAGGTTGCTCAGAGCCCCATCCAACCTGGCCTTGAATGCTTCCAGGGATGGGGCCTCCACTACCTCTCTGGGCAACCTGTTCCAGTGTTT